TAGTCGTAGTAGTAGTAGTAGTAGTAGTAGTCGTAGTAGTAGTAGTAGGAGAAATAGTTGATGTGATAGTAGTCGTGGTGCTAGTAAAATTGGTATTAGTAGTGCCAGTCGAAATAGAAGTAGTAATCGCAGTAGTAGTAGTAGTAGTAGTAGTAGTAGTAGTTGCACTAGTAGTAGTCGTGGTAGTAGTAGTAATAGAAAAGAGAATATTAGCAGTAGGTTATCGTGGTGGTAGTAGTGGCGGTTGTAGTAGTGGCACTGGTGGTGGTGTAGTACCGATGGCACAGACATGACATAGCATAATTATGTTGGGCTTGTCGGTCGCGTAATCAACTCCGCGAGCGCCAAATGGACCGTGAAGTGCACGGCAGGCACGAAATCAAAACGGAAAAGATCGTGAGAAGAGACGAGAAGGAGCCCGCTCAGACCATGTACATAAATCGGCGCGGGGATGACTCGGGTACACTTGTAACCCCCTGGTATGTTAAGTTCCCCAAGATCTGTCCCACCTTTGAGGGGCAACGACAGGAGGAGACTGACCAAGGGGGGGACATCGACCTGGAGTCGGCGATACATCGCCGATAGATCGGCGATAGGCCCCCGATAGCGAATCCGCACGGTCCTTGGCGCGGGGGCGGGCTATCGGCCCCCTATCAGCGATCAATGGGCGATTGGGGGTCGATGCGATCCCCCCTGAGTCTATCCCCCCTATCAGGTTGCCCCTGCACCCAAGCATCCGCTTCTGACCCCCTGTCCCCTTATAAGACGAAGCCAGGACAAGGATTAAATCGGGTGAGGATAGATCGAGAATCTTATGAGATCTGGCGGCTCTGGAGGACGTCTCGGGCGCCGCGGCCATCTCAGGAGCGTTCCCGAACGTTCTCAGAGCGCTCCGGAACGCTCTGGAACGAATTGATCGTCGTCCAAGCCCCGTCCGACCTCAACGACCCTTGCGGAGATCTCAGCGCAGGGCCGGGGGCAGCGGGAACCGCCAGAGGCCCGGACTGCGGCCGCCGCCGAGCAGGTACACGTGCCCGCCGCCCACGCAGAAGGCCCCGACGTCGGGGGCCTCGGGCGGCAGCAGGAGCGGCCCCTCGGCCTCGGCGCCGCTGCCCGCGTCCAGCACGCGGATGCTGTGGCGCCGCGAGTGCAGGGTCCCGAAGTAGCGGTCGTTGAACGCGCGGGTGACCTCCATGGGTAAGTGCTCTGGAAGAAGCAAGGACGACATAGACACATAAACTTCTGGCGCTCCGCGCTGATTTCTTGGATCTGCGCTGGACCACTTCCCTGGCGCGCGGAGCGCGCCGGGGCGGCGCCGGAGGTGTCGCCTGGGGGGGCCCAGCGCAGATCCAAGAAATCTGCGCGGAGCGCCAAAAGTTTATGTTTACGGCGTTTGTTGTTCTTCGGTGCTCGGTGCCGTGGACCTCCACGACGCTCGTTGGGGCCAGCTCGCGCCCAGAGGCGCGCCGGGCCAGCTGCGCGACCGACCCGTGCGTGGTGGCCACGGAGACGCAGCCGCCGCGCTGCAGCTCGTCGGCGGCGGAGCGGTTCGCGGCGGCGGCGCAGGCCTGGTCCACCAGCAGCCACCGGGCCTGAAGACGAAGCCAGGACGAGGACAAATTCGCGGGCGGATCGATCGCGACTCTCTGCGATGCGGCGGCTCTGGAGGACGTCTCGGGCGCCGCGGCCTCCTCAGAGCGTTCCGGCACGCTCAGAGAGCGTTCCTGAAGGCTCTGGAACGGATTTATCCTCGTCCTGCCTTGAGATCCGACGTTGCAGAACAATTGCAGCATCGCAAAGCATCACACCTGGACCTCTGGACCCCGTCTTTCTGCGTGAATCATGCCTCGAGACGGATCGAGCCGTGAGGGTCCACGGGCCCAACATCGAGAGCAAAAACGCGCCCGGCTCGAAAAAACCTGGAATCCCCAGGATCTCAGCGTGGCCCCGAGGGCCTGCTCCCTGCGCCATGTCGTTCGGCCGTGCGCGCCCTGCACGGGCCTCTGGAGCCAGCCCTGCGAGATCTGCCCCACGTAGCCCCCTGCCGCCGCGGCCGCCAGGGGGCACGCGGCGAGGCGAGTGCCGTCGTGGTGCAGCGCCAGCGCCTCGCAGCCGCCGCCGGCGCCGCAGTGCAGGGCCACGTCCTGCAGCGCCTCGCCCTGCAGGGCGGGGCAGCCGGGCGCCTGCCGGAACCTGGCCGAGGGCCAGGCCGGCTCGCGGGCCCGCCGCGGCGCGGGGCGGCCCGCCGCCCGGGCCGCGGCCGGGGCTGGGGCCGGCAGGGTGGCCTCTTCCCGACGATGGGCCTGTTTTCCACCACCACCACCATAAGTTGTGGGGGGAGGGGGTCCTCCTCCCCCTCTTCTTCCTCCTCCTCCTACTCCTCCTCCTCCTCCTCCTCCTCCTCCTCCTTCTCCTTCGCCACTCCAACTGATGGTGGTGGTGGTGGTGGAACAGGCCCATCACCCCAGGTCACCGGATGCCGCTCATTTGCGGTCGCGATCGGAAGCGACCGATCGGCACTCCAAATCGGTAATGGCCGATCGCGACCGATGGCAAATTCGGTCGCAACCGGTCGCAACCGATCGCGACCGATCGGTTGCGACCGATCGGTCGCCACCGACTTTGAAACAACTCGGCTCCGACCGATGCCCGAATTTGCAGCAAAATCAGTAGCGACCGATCTCGTCGGACGCGACTTGAGAACTAGTTGTGGCATCCAATGGTTAGGGCAGCATGGGAGAACAACGGGTCCCGTGGGAAATGGGCCCTGGATCCCGGGGCTGTCCCCGGGACGAGTTCTTCTAGGAGGCAAAGGAACCCGCGTCGCGTTTGACCACCCTCGCTTCCAAACGATCCCGAACAATACCAAGCCACGGCCCGCGCCGGTCAGGCCGCTTGACGATGAGGCGCGTGGTATGACTTGATTTTGCCTGGAAGCGAAGAGCGGGGTAGGCAGTTCACGCTCTGATCTTCACCCCGAGTACTAGTCCTTCCTGGCACAGAGGAAGGAAGAACGACACAAACACATAAACCTTTGACGCTCCGCGCGGAGTCCTTGGATCCGCGTTTCCTCGTCGATGACAGGCCCAAGGGGGGCCCGTGGAGGGCCCCGAGGCCCCCCAAACCGGCGAACGACCTCGGGACCCGTCTCCTGCTCAGGCGAGGCCTCGAAGATGGAGAGGCCGTCCGTGGCGAGCAGGCGCCGACCCGTCGCGTCGCAGGCGAGGGTCAGCGGCTGGATGTCGGCGTAGGGCCAGTGCGCCTCGATGCGCTCCACCTCGGGCCCGACCTGGGGGGCAACGCTCGGGGGGGGGGGGGCCGGCTCCATGGTCAGAGAGGGAAAAGGTAGCCATCCCGCTAGCCTTCCCTCGTTTTCCCCTTCTTGGGCCTCCTGGGAGGCCCCGCTGGATTCGCCTCGAAATCCTAGTCAGAACGCACTCTGGGAGCGGTCTGGGGAGACGCGGTATGTATCGGTACCTTCTGATTCCCCCAACTGGGGGAATCATCGACCTGGAATCGGCGGTACAGCGCCGACAGATCAGCGATAGGCCCCCGATAGTGAACCCGCACGTTCCTGGGTGGGGGTGGGCTGTCGGCGACGAGTGGGCGATTGGGGGTCGATGTGCACCTCTCCCAGGGTCACGCCCGCCGCAAGCAGGGAGAACACCCCGGGCCTCGGCACCACCTCTGAGCCGCCACCCCAGCGGCGGCTTCCCGCCGCCTCGGCGGGCGCGTCCTTCGAGGCCTCGTTCCAGGGCAGCGCCATGGTCCAGACGCCGGTGACGTGGAGGATGTAGTACACACCCGCCAGGATCCAGGTCAGGCTGATGACGAACGAGGCGTTCCTGAAGACCTGCCACGGCAGCACGCCTGGCATCTCGTTGTCGTGGCCCGTCGCCATCGGCACGCCCTCGTCCTCCTCCTCCTCACGGCTGGCCTTGAAGCCCCAGAAGGACGCGCGTTCCTGACCCTCGAGCGACTGCTCCTGGGCCTCCGAGATCAGCGAGTCCATCTTCTCGCGCCGGCGGTTCCCCTGCGGCATGAAGGTCACCGGGTCCCAGAACCTGCAACTCATGGGAGCATCCCATACCATTCGGCACCAAATCGACACTCATCGGCACGGTGATCCGATGCTAATCGACACTAGATCGACACATTGATCGACGCTTAATCGGCACGGCAATCGGCAAGGTAATCGACGATAGTCGGCACACTGAATCGGCACGACAATCGACGCTAACCGACGCTAGTGCTTGAGAGCAAAATCCATGCTCTGAGAACATAAGCACGATGGGTTGAAACAAGACAGTCCCAGCTAAACATGTTAGAAGAACATGTCGTGCAAACCGCAGAAGGTTGTAAAAAAAACTTTGGCAGGCCTACAGGCGAGTCAGGACGCTTCGCCGCTGCTTGAAGTGCATTCCAGAGACGGACTTCTGCAAAGGTCCGCGAGGCCCCCATGATTTGCAACCTAAAAGCACCCCTTCGCGGGTGGCTCGACGGCGTTCACGTGGTCCCACGCGCGGGGCGCGCCCTCCACGAGCCTCATGTCCTCCGTCGCTGCCGCCGGCGCCGCGCCCAGGGGCCTCGAGGGCAGCGGTCGACCCGCCGCGTCGTACCTGACGGCGGACGCGGCCGGCCGCGCCACGCGGTGGCCCTCGGCCTCGCCCGGGTGCTCCCAAGCCTCCTCCTCCTCCTCCTCCTCCTCCTCCTCCTCCTCCTCCTCCTCCTCCTCCTCCTCCTCCTCCTCCTCGTAGCTAACTTCACCCCGAGGCCAGTTTTTGGGGCGGGCGGTTGCCAACATGTGGCTTCCAAGCCTCCTCCTCCTCGTCCGACGCGCCAGCCGTGTCGGCGTCGGGCACGCACAGGCCATCCGCAGGCGGCTTCGTGTACTCCTTGGCGAAGTAGCCGAGTGGCGGGCCCGGCCCAGCCGCCGCCACCGCGCTGGGGCCGGCGGGGGTTCCCAGCGTCCCTCGCCTGGCGCTGGTGGTGCGGCTCGGCGGCTCGGCGGTGGCCAGCTCGGCGTCGTCCCCTGGCCCCGGGCCGACCAGCTTCCACGTGGACGGCTCGCGCAGCGGCAGCTTCTCGGGGTCGCCCGAGTCCCGCGCCCGCTTGTGCGAGACCCAGCCGAAGACGTCGAGGTACAGGACGCCCTGGAACGCCAGAGGAAGCATAGCGCCGTTCTCCTGCTCCCGCACGGAGAGCACCAGCGTCATCAGCGCGATCACGATGCCGTGGCTGATGAAGGCCACGGGCGCCAGGCACTCTGCGATCTTGGTGGTCATGTCTTGCTGCTGGACGTAGTGGTATGAGGCCAGGCATGCCACAGTGGGTCCGAACACGAGAAGCGCTTGGATGAGCCGCTGGTCCCACACAGGCAAGGTCAGGTCGATGCGTGCGATCACCTCGGCGGAGCCCGTGAGGATGATGACACCAGCGATTGCAGCCACGGGGGCCTGGACCTGCAGCATCGCATAGCCGAGAAGGTAGTAGCTCATGGCCAGCATCAGCTGGTTGACCCCGACGCTCATGGACACGCGTGCGAAGGCGTCGTACGTCTGGTAGTACACCGCCGCCTGCCTCACCAGCTTGATGTGGCGCAGCGCGGCCACCTCCTCTCCACGGCGGCACCCCAGCTCCGACAGGTCGTCGCTGCTCTGCTCCAGGCCCCACGGGTCTGCGGCGACAGCCCCGGCCACAGCGCTGGACGCCGAGCACCGGGTGACTTAGAAGAAGGAAGGAAGGCACGAGCACAAAAACTTCGGAGGTCCGCACTGGTTCTTGCATCGGCGTTGGACCGCCCTCGTGCGGAGCGCGCCAAGTGGCGGCGCCGGCGCCATCAGGGCGGCCTGGACGCCGACTCCAACAGCCCGCGAGGACCTCCGAAAGTTTACGCCTGTGCAACCGTTTCTTCTTCGGGTGATGCTCTCCTGTCGGGGGTGGATAGGACCCCCTTTGGCAAAGCACCCTTTAGTGGAGGCTGCCAGGAGCACTCCACGCGCGCACGGCATTGCACTCCGAGTGCACCCAAGCGGGATATCCACTCGACGTCCACAAAAAACAACCGAATATATCCGGCGATGCACACGTCGAGTAGCGATACCCACTGGGGACTGCACCCGTACGCTCGCATGCCACACGTCGAGTGAACTTGTGCAGACTTCCTCAATCGACGTGTTCAGCATTGGGGCAGCGGGTCCTGCGCGAAACGGGTCCTGGACCTTGGGGCCTTCTCCAGGACGAGCCCTTCATCACGAGGCGCATTCTGACAGCCTCGAGGCCCGTGGAGGGCCCCGAGAGCCCGAAGACGGCGAAAAACCGAAAAACCCCGTTCGCCTGAGGACCCGTTACCCCATGGCGACGCTCTGTCAATGCCCGATCCTGGCTGCCGGTGAGGAAGGGGATCCGGAACATCTGGCGCGGCTCCACCTTTCGAATGCGAGATGGACCACAAAATTGCTTGTTCGTCGAGTCTACGTAACATACGTCGCCTTTTCGTAGATCTACGAACGTTCTGCTCATTGTCTGTCCCGGCAGGAGAAGATGGGAGCGGACGACATGCCACCACAGCCGGCGCCAGAGAGTGGATGCCGCCACACGCCGAAGGCCAGGCTGAAGGGCAGGGCATCGGGGGAGGAGGCCGGCGAGGGACGGCAGGAGCGCGAAAAAAGCGGTTGCGCTCGAGAGCCGCCTTTTCGGCCTCGCCAAGCGCGTGGGGGGGGGGGTAGATCCCGCCAGGCGCTTCGGAGAATGCGCCGAGACGGCCGGCGTCGAGCACGAGCCGACGCATGGCGTCTGCTTGGTTTCGTGAGTTCGACGACGTCGTAATTTGTGGGGCAAGACGATTGGGTCATCGATCCCCTGCGCGAGCCTTCTCGAACTCCGAGGCGTGGGTGCGGCAGGCCTCGAGCTCGCTCCAGCACGGCAGCGGCAGGCGCACCAGCTGGGTCAGGATGCGGGTCTGGTAGCTCTGCGCCGCCACGGACGCGTGCATGGCCAGCCACACGGTCAGGAGCAGGAACGTGAAGGAGCTTCCGATGGCCACCTTCGGCACCACCATCATCATCATCATCATCATCATCATCATCAGCAGCAGCAGCAGCAGCAGAATCATCATCATCATCATCATCATCATCATCATCATCATCATCATCATCATCATCATCATCATAATCATAGTCATCATCATCATCGTCATCATCATCATCAGCATCATCATCATCATCAGCATCATCATCATCATCACCACCATCATCATATCACCACCATCATCATCACTTTCATCATCCTCATCCGTATCAGCAATATCATCATCCCCACCTCCACCATCATCATCATCATTCTCATCATCAGCGGCATCATCATACAAATAATAATCACCATCACCATTATCATATTCATCGTCATCATCACAATCAGTATCACCACCACCACAACCATCATCACCATCGTCATCATCATGATCATGATCATGATCATGGTCATCATCATCAGCATCATCATCGTCGTCATCATCATGCGCATCATCATCAGCAGCAGCAGCAGCAACATCGTCACACTTAACAGCATCAGCATCATCATCTTTATTCTCGTCCTCACCATCATCCCCCTCCTCATCCTCATCCTCATCCTCCACCTCATCATGAGCATTGTCATCATCATTATCATCATCATAACACCATCATGACAACAGCATAACCTCACTATCACTGTCATCAGCCTCATTAACATCATCAGCATTGGAGCATCGTCAGCATCATCATCAAGAGCATCATCCTCATCGTCATCCTCATCCTCATCCTCAGTCTCATCCCCATCCTCACCTTCCTCATCCTCATCCTCATCCTCATTTTCATCCCCATCCTCACCCTCATCATCATCATCATCATCATCATCATCATCATCATCATCATCATCATCATCATCATCATCACCATCACCATCACCATCACCATCACCATCTTCATCCTCATCCTCATCAGCACCATCATCACCATCACCACCACCACCACCATCACCATCACCATCACCATTATCAGCAGCATCATCATCATCATCATCATCATCATCATTATCATCATCATCATCATCATCATCATCATCATCATCATCATCATCATCATCATCATCATCATCACCACCAGCACCAGCAGCAGCAGCAGCATCCTCAGCATCGTCATCGTTGTCTTCATCGTTCTCCGTCGGCGGCGCGGCCCTGGGAAGCGAGAGGGGGGCAGGCTTTCTCGGAGGGCGGCGGGGCTTCTCAGAAGCCCTCGGGCCCTCTGAGAGGCCGCTGTTGGGCAGGCGGCCTCCTGTCACGAAGAGACCCAGGCCGCGGCGGCGCGGACAGCGAGTCCTGCTCAAGATGCACAGGAACTGCTGTTGGGCATTGTACCCATTCTTTCCGTACCCCCATTTCGGGCGTCCAGAGGGCAAGAGGAAAACAACACACGTGACACAACTAATCCTCGAGCCCCTAGAAAATATGGGAAAATACGGGAAGTGGGGGGGAAGACACAAATCAAGAAAATAACCGACTTTTATGGGGAATCCTTGTATTTGTGTGTGTATTTGTTTGTGTGTCCTTGGGCCCCTTCAAGAGGGCCGCGCGCGTCCTCGGAGAAAGGCTCCGAGCGCTCCCCGAGAAGGCCGGAGGCCTGCCGCGGGCCTTCCGGGGAGGCCCGCCCCCGCGGCCTGCCGCCCCACGGGGACCCGGCCGGCCCGCCGGCGCCTGCCACGGGGAGCGGCTCCCGGCGCCCGGCTGTCGTGGGGTCCTCCGCGGGCCCCGCTAGGGGGGTGCGCGGGGGAGGCCTCCCTCGGGAGGGTGTGCGTTCGAGCAGCGCCCCGGGGGGGCAGATCCCCGAGCGTCTCCTCCTCTTTTGCCCTGAGAGGGCGCGGGCCCAGGATTCTCTTTTGTAGCTGCTGCCCCCCCGGAATCGACGGGAAGAGGGCCGGCGAAATCACTTGCGGTAAACAACGAGGCGGGAAGAGGGCGGGCGAAATTATGTTTGACGATGCCCTGAGCGAAACGCTGGTTTTGCAGAACTTGTTGAGGATTTCTCGAGCGAAACGCTTGCTGTTTGATACATATATATATATATATGTATTATATTTATACATATATAAATATATACATATATACATATATATATATATAGATTGCATTATCCTGGGGACCAGAATTCAGAGGATTCTCCTGGGGACCAGAATTCCTATATAGATTGCATTCTCCTGGAAGTGAAATGCTTGTTTTCACGTGCCCAGGTCTTGATGATGTCTCGAGCGAGACGCTTGGCTTCACGCGTCCTGGCTGCCCAGGCAGATGTCTAGCGTGAGGAGTTGCTGAGGATGTCTCGAGCGAGACGTTTGTTTTCACGCGTCCAGGTCGCCCAGGTGAATGTCTAGCATGAGGATGTGTTGAGGATGTCTCGATCGAGACGCTTGTTTGCACGTGTCCAGGTTTCCGAGGCGGATCTCCAGCATGAGAATGTGTTGAGAATATCTTGAGCGAAACGCTTGCTTTCACGTGTCCAGGTCGCCTCGGCGGATGTCTAACATGAAGATGTGTTGAGGATGTCCCGAGCGAGACGTTTGCTTTCACATGTCCAGGTCGCCCAGGCGGATGTCCAGCATGAGGAGGTGTTGAGAACGTCTCGAGCGAAACGCTTGTTTTCACGTGCCCAGGTCACCCAGGCGGACGTCTAACATGAAGATATGCCGAGGATGTCTCAAGCGGACCACTTGTGTTCACGTGTCAATTCGCCCAGGCGGTTGTCTAGCATGAGGATGTGTTGAGGATGTGCTGAGCGAAGCGCTTGTTTTCACGTGTCCAGGTCGTCCAGGCGGATGTCCAGCATGAGGATGTGGGCAGGATGTCTCGAGCGAAACGCTTGTCACCAGCACGTTCCGTACAGAGCGTCCCCTTGGTCCCTTGGTACGTCCCGCGGTGCGTCCCCATGGCACGTCGCCTGGCGCGTTCCTTGGGACGTCCCGCGGCTCGTCTTCCTGGCATGTCCCCCTGTCAATCAGCTCTGGGGCAGCTACTATGTGCTCAGGCAGCTTGAGCTTACGATCCAGATCAGTTCGGTCAGGACTCGGATGCAAAGGAGGAATCGATCCACAACGCTGTAGAGCACAATCGCGGCATGGCACATCGCAATTCAGCACGGCGAAGCACAGCACAGCCCGCGGCACGGTACATCAAGATCGATGCACTCAGTATTGCATGTGCCCGTCGCCCAATCAGGTGTCTTTGAAACGTTGGCATGCCCTACGATTCTATATCATTTTCCGAGTTCGTGGATCGATCATGCTTTCTCCGAGCGGAATTCTGCTTGGTGCGGGAAGGGCTTGCCATCGCTCGGGCGTTCATTCCCCGTGCACTGTTTGACTTCGTGTGTGTGTGTGTGTGTTTTGTTTTTTTCTTTTTGTGTGTGTGTGTGTGCGTCTTTCTTTTCCCCTGGATGATCCCAGGTGCTCCAGGATGGTCCAGAGCTTCTGGCGCTGGCCTCGCCGTCGTGGCCCCTGCCCCAGGGCCCCTTTCTGGAGCCCGCTCGGCGCCCGAGCCCCCTCGGCCGCCGTGCGGGCCCAGGACGGAGCCCACGCGGCCGCCAAGCGACCCCAAAAGTTCCCACCGCCCTCTCGCCGTCGCTCGGACGTCCAATCCCCGTGCTTGGTTCGGTTTCGCGCGTGGTTTTTCGCCAAATGATCAAGGATTCTCCTCGATGGCCCTCGCCGAAGGAAAAATGCACACGTCCGAGCGATGCCAAGCCCTCTGGGGATTGAGCCCGTTCGGCCGCCCGCTCGGCGGCCGAACGGGCCCAGGCGTCGAACGGGGCGGGGGGCGTCCATCCTCGAGAATGGTGCTTTAAAGCAGCGCGCTGCGGGTGGATTCACGAGCCCCCCCCCCCTCAGCCGAGTTGCCAATTTTCGGGCGGGTGTACTGGGGGGGTGCCCAAGATGGGGTGTGAAGAGAAGGGCCCCAAAAGAGCTCTGAAGGGCCCCTTGTGGAGCCAGCAGGGGTCCAAAAGTGGCCCCAAAGGGGCCCTTTAGGGCCCATTTCTTCACCTCCCATTTAGGCCACCCCCCCATTACCACCCGCCCGACATTTTCTTCGAGGGAGGGACTCGGGGCTGGTGGGGGCAGGAGATCGACTGCGAGCCTGGTTGCCCAGCATGAGCCAGTCCGGCGTGCCCTCCGGCAACCGCCCCTCGCACCACAGGTTCAGGTTGAAGCCGAGCAGGAGCACGTTGACCAGCAAGTAGATCGACATCTTCCTTGGGCGCGGCTTAATGGGGGGGCGATGCACGGGGGGAGAAGAAAGGTGCCATGTTCGGGCCGTAAAACTCCCCTTTGGGTCCGAAAAGGCCTTCTGGGCCCTAAACGCCCCCTTTGGGACCCGAAAGGGCCCCTTTGGGGGCCCGGAAGGGCCCCTTTCCTGCAGCCCTCGCTGTCCCCCACTTACCGCCCCCCTTGAACTCGCGCCCAACTTCCTTCAGGGCCCCAAGACCGTGTGGTGGCGGACCGCGTGGTGACCTCGGAACCCTCGACGACCTCACCGCGCGGTCCGTCACCGCACTGTTTTGGGACCGTGGAGGCCCTGATCGCCCGAGACGTCCTCGGAGAACGACCCGAGTCCCAAAACCGTTCGGTCACCCCGAACCCCACTGACCCTTAGCGGGCCCCAGAAACGGAAGGGCCGTTTTCTCACCGCTCCCGAAAGAGTCTCTTGAAAATGGAAACAACAAAAAGCGGCGACCGGAAACGGCAAACAAAACGGCTCTGGGATTGGAGCCGGGGCCAGAACCGGTAAAGCAAAACGGCGACGGCACCAGAAAATAATCGGCGTCGGGACCGGCCACAGAAGCGGCAGAACGGAACCGGTAAGGAAACGGCCCGGTCGTTTCCAGGGCCCACTGAGCACTGACCCACTGCGCGGTATGGTCACCACAGCGCTTGGGGGCCCCCGAAGTCCGCTCGGTGAGCGAGATGAAGTCCCGGACGTCCTCCCGCCACAGCTCCGCCTGCTTCACGCGCATCTTGCGCTCAAAGAACTCCTTCTTCATCCGCTGCTCGCGGTCCTCCAGGAAGTTCTCCCGGTTGTAGTCGAAGACGGCCTTGCCCGCCAGGGCCGCTCCCGCGGCAGACAGCATGGCCTCTTGCTAGCTTCAAGGCTGGATCGCCAATCAAGAATGTGCGCGAACGTGGCTGCAGTCTTTCATTGCAGCACGAGAGCGACTGCGATGCAAGACCGAGGAACCCTCCCCTTTGGGGAAGCTGAACACGCTACTGGACACATGGAAATTGACCTTGAGGCACGACTGGCCTGGGCCAGAACGGTTATGGATGAGGAGGGGGGGCATGAGCACAAGCAGGAGAGAAGGAGGGAGGGAGGGGAGGCAGGAACACGTGAGGGGATGCCTTTCTCAACTTCCACATATTTCAAGGGGGCGGGGTGAGGGGGCACTAGGGGGTAGGAGACTCCGCTGGGTTTCAGCGGCATGCGGGCTCCAGGACTGTCCTGGGCTTGCGCTCGAGAGGCAGCCTCGACACCAGCAGGGCCAACGCGGCCGGTGGATGACACGCAGCGAGGCCTTCGAGCCGAGCTGCTGGGCGAGCTCTGCAGAAGACGCGGGGCATCGCCGCGGGTGGCGCGGGGCAGGGGCGGCACAGTGCTGCCCCTGCTCGAGCCACGGAGGAGAGAGAGAGAGCAGGGGGCCGGAGGAGGAGGAGGAGGGAACGGCACCCGGAGATCCGGCGTCGCGAAGACACGCAAGACAGCAGCAAGTCACAGCCAGGGCCTTCGACCCGATCCAGTCTGCGGAAGAGGCTCGGGCGGCCACGGTGCAGCAGCGCGCCAAGCAGGGCGTGCAGCCACTGGTGTGGAGGCTCTGGTGGTGTCGCCCCTGGACGGCCGCACCCGCCTGTCCCGGTGTGGCGCCAGCGGCTCCTGCCGCTCCGCTGGCAAGGGCGAGAATCACCCGGACGCCGCCTCGAATGTGATGGCCTTCTGCACTGGCGACGGGCCGTGTCCCGCAGTTGGCGGCGAAGGTGCAGCATCTGACATGCACGAAGGTACGGCGAAGGTGCAGGTGGCTGTCTTGCGCCATGACTTTGGCAGGTCCGCCTGGACTGGCGGTGGTCCGAAGACGTGCCCCGAAGCTGTGGCCGAGGACATGCCTACCCCGTTGCGATGTCCTCGCATCTGGCCGTGGCCTGTCAGCCAGCAATGACTGAGTGTCCATGGCACGTCAACCCACGAAGGCGGTGTGCTCGGTATGGTAATTACTCGTTTCCGTTATTCCTCCCCCCCTCGGCGGCTGGTGCGATTGCTGCGGGGTCCGAGGAAGAGAAATAAGTGTCGCAAGAAAATATGTTGAGCTTGCATGTGACCGAGCCTGCCTGTGAGCTTGCGCAGGTTGGGGGGCGCTGCTCTCTGTGACAATCCTTCCTTTACCGAGGCCTCCTCTGAGGCCCTTGCCACGGACGGTCAGTCTGGAGGCTCTCCACAGGGATCGGAGGAGCTTGACGAATCTGGCGCTGCATTGCCAGGGCGCTTCGCGGATGGTGTAGCGGTCACGGAGCAACCGTCGCTGAAATCACCTGCGTTGGTGTTTTGTCTTTCGGCTGATGGCAGCGGGTGCGACTTCGAATGTGGCATTCGTGCCGATTGTGAGGGACCTGGCAGCGTATATGTCTATATATAGATATATATAAATAAATAAATATAAATATACACACGTACATGGGTGTCCTCGTGGGCTGCCACGTCTCACGTCCTCGTGCGTATGTTTCTGATTTCCCCTCTTGCCAATTTCCCCAACATCCTCATACTTGTTTCCCCAAGCCTCCTGTGATGGGTTCTCGTTTTGAATAGAGCACTGTGGTCTCCGGTCTCCATCCTCCTCCTCCCCCTCCTCGCGGCTTCCTGGGGGCGGATGCGAAGTGCGCAACTGTCGCCACGTTCGTGGGCTCCTGGGAGGCCCAGCTGAGTGGAGCTGGAAGCAGGTCCAGCCGAGACCTTGCGGCTCCTCCCTGGGGGGTCCAGCGGGGTACAGGTGCACGCAGACCCAGCCGAAATATCGCTGCTCCGTGGAAGGTTGCGAAGCGTGCAACCGTCGCCACTTTCGTGGGCTCCTCGGAGGTCCAGAGGGGGAAAGGGGCACGCAGATCCAGCCGAGTTATCGCTGCTCCATGGGGGGGCTGCGAAATGAGCAGCCGTCGCCACTTTCGTGGGCTCCTGGGAGGTCCAGCGGGGTGAAGGTGCACGCAGATCCAGCCGAGTTATCGCGGCTCCCTGGGAGGCTGCGCAGTGCGCAACCGTCGCCACTTTCGTGGGCTCCTCGGAGAGCCATCGGAATGGAAAAGCTGCCAACTGTGCAACTGTTGCAGATTCCGTGTGCCCCTGGGTGGTCCATTGGAATGGAATTGCACGCAGACCCGGCCGACACTTCGCGACTCCCTGGGGGGGTGCTGCGCCGTGCGCAACTGGCGCCACTCTCGTGGGCTCCTGGGAGGTCCAACGGAGAGGAGGGGGACGCGGATCCAGCCGAGACCTCGCTGCTCCATGGGGGGCTGCGCAGTGTGCGGCCGTCGCCACTTTCGTGGGCTCCTGGGAGGTCCAGCGGAGAGGAGGGGCACGGAGATCCAGCCAAGACCTCGCGGCTCCCTGGGGGGGCTGCGCAGTGCGCAACTGCCGTCACGTTCGTGGGCTCCTGGAAGGCTCAGCGGCGTTGAAGGGCTCGGAGACCCAGCCGAGACCTCGCAGCTCCCTGGGGAGCTGCGAAGAGCGCAACTGTCGACACGTTCGTGCGCTCCTGGGAGATGCAGTTAATTCGTGGACTCATGGGAGGTCCAGCGGAGTGGAGGGGCACTCAGGCCCAGCCAAGACCTCGCGGCTCCCTGCGCACGGAGGGGTGCTCCTGCGCAATGCGTGTCCCTCAACATGCTCGATCGCATCGAGCGTTTCTGGTTACAGCGGCCGCATGCCAGAAAGGGTTGGGTACGCCGCAGGGCTATGTCCCTCGTCATCTTCATCCCTCGCCCTCCCTGACCCCTGCTTACCCCTGCTCCTCCTCAGTGCCCGACGACTCCGTGCCCCTCCATCCTCCATGTCTCCTGCTCCCCCTGGCGCCTCTTCCTTGCAGGGGGGAAGGAAGGAAGAGGAGTCGCAGTGTCAGGAGGAGGCGGGAGAAGCAAGACAGGATGGGGCAGTCAGGAATGATGAGGGGAGGTAGCTGGGAGGAGGAGGAGACGGGGCAAGGAGGGGGCAGGGAGGAGGAGGAGGAGGAGGAGGAGGAGGAGGAGGAGAAGGAGGAGGAGGAGGAGGAGAAGGAAGAGGAGGAGGAGGAGGAGGAGGAGGAGGAGGAGGAGGAGGAGGCACAGATGGAGAAGGGGAGGGGAGGAGGAACGGGGTCCTCGATCTCGCGCTTCACGTCGGCGATCGCCTGCGTGCGCGCTCGCGTCTCCCTCTCCACCATCACCTCGAGCCGCTCCTCGGCTGAGGGGCAACGGTATAGGGGAGGTAGGCATATGCGGCATAGGGGGGGAAACGTCGACCTCGAATAGGCGATACATATCGCCGACAGCTCGTCGATGGGACCCCGATCGTGAATCCACACCTTCCTGGGCAGGCTGGGGCTACCGGGCCCCTATCGGCGATCAATGGGCGATTGGGGGTCGATGCATCCCCCCCTATGCCTATCACCCCCCCATCGTTGCCCCTGATCGGCGCGCGATGGGGCCGACTCCGGCGACGCCGGGGGGGGGAGGCCTCGGCTAGAGGGCGCCGCGGGAGAGAAGATGGGGCCCGACCATGCCGGACCGATGTAGATGCGCCGCCATAAAGGAGGACAAGGAGGAGGAGGAGGAGGAGAAGGAGGAGGAGGAGGAGGAGGAGGAGCAGGAGAATGAGGAGAAAGAAGAGGAGGACGAGGAGGAGGAAGAGGAGGAAGAGGAGGAGGAGAAGAGGGAGGAGGAAGGGCTCTGGCCATGATGCTTCATGATGATGTTATTTTTTCACGACGTCGAATCTCGGGGGGAGATGGAGGGGCGGAGAAGATGACGAGAAAGGTGTAAGGGAAAGAATGCCCCCGAGGCGGCCCAATAATAAGGCAAACCGTCACCCAATGGAAGACCTGTGGGGGGCGCCAATATGCTTCCGCCTCTCCTGACGCTGTTTCGGCGCCCGTTGGTTTCAACGTGTAGTGCCGACCTCAACCGCTTCCGCAGGTTGGGGACGCCGCAGCAACAGAACGTCGCCGAGTATATCCTGCCTGGTCAGGTGCAGGTTACCCACGTCCAGTCCAGTGGCTGCCGCGCTCTATACTGCTTCCTGTCGACGGCGTCCCCGTCGAGCGTCGGCGGTCATGCAGTAACCCCACTAGCCCTGTGGCGTAGGTGGCCTAGGGTTACGTCGGGCCTGTTCCTCTACATGAGGAATATGCAAAAATAGTAAAACAAATCTGGGGATGATTGTTGACTACTTGTGACCATTTGGGCATGTGTTTTGACTATATTTATTTTTCGTTCAAAATCCGCCTGTAGGGGGGACACGCCCGACCTAAATCTAGGGCGGCTTCTCTTCCAACCTCCTTCTCTGGAGGAGATTATCCCTCCCCCTACCCTCACCCCTGGACCTGTAGGGGGCGGGGTCGAGAGGCGTTGGAGCGGTCAAACATAGCCCAAGATGGCTCCAAGAGGGCCTCAGAGGGCCCGAGGTGATCTCCCAAATGGCTCTCATGATAGCCCTGGATGGCTCCAGGTGGCCCCCAAGATGCCACAAGAGGTCCCAAGACCGCTCCAAGACGGCTCCACGTAACCATAAAACCACCCCAGGAGGCCACCAAGAGGCCAAACTTTTTCAAACACCGCATGAACATCAGTACATTTGGCCTTCTCTCCTTTTTGCTTTCGATGGCCTTCCGATGCCTCAAGACAGCTCAAAGGGGGCCCCTAAGAGCCCGAGAGAGGCCCAAGAGAGCCCCGAGACGGCCCAAAGAGTGCCCAAGAGCGCTCCAAGAGGGGTCCAAGAGCCAAGTTCTGGCACTCTAGATAGGCAAGGCTG